TCCAAACGTGATTTTATAAATCTTCTTTATCTGTGCTTATAAGGTTAGATATATATAAGGAGAAAATTATTCACTGGAGTTTACACTGAAAACAGTGAACTCTCCTCCTGGTTCAAACACGTTTTGTTGAGATGTACATAAACTCGGATCATCCCGAGTCCTACATGTTTATAATCTCTTCAGAATAAATCGACGATAGTCTGGTTTCCTTCTTTCTAATCAACTAGTCTTCATTTATCAAAGGCTAATTAAGTTACATTAAAAGTATTTTGAATAAACAGATCGGCAAGTTGCTTGAAAGCCACAGGCGATATAAAGTCACGGTGGAACGGAATGTATCAGTACTATATTTTAGTGTTGATTGGACTTTCGTAGGTAGTGTGGTGCCATCAAAAATTGATCCCTTTTGAGAAGGGCGTGTAACAGCACTTTCCGACGCAAAATATTTATACCCTCAGGTCATAAAGATGTGTTCAGATCTCAGATCAGGCATTTAGAATCCTCTAGACGGGGATACCCCTTATATTTAATGGCACTAAAAAACGAAGGAATGTGATCCTACTGGTGGCACTAGGACCATCCAGAAAAAGACTTGCAACAAGTCGTATCCTAGACATAGTAAGCAAAGTGTGGTGTCTTGTAACAGGTGAGAATCCGGACTTTATCCTCCAACTTTATATGTTTATATAACTGAAAATCGCGATTGTTGAAAAACAGAATGCTTGGATAAAATTTAAAATCGATTTTAAACTCTTTTTTTTTTTCTATTGAAGGATCTATGTTATTTCTGTATTGGTTGTATATTTGGAAAATACCAAAGGCATTCGATTGAGCAAAGTGACAAGTGACATATGTTCCTAGAAAGAAAAAAAAAGTAGATGCATTTTGGCGAAAACTTTTATATGAAACCTAATATTATAGAAAACCAATACATTATCAAGACTTCAACCACGGAGGGAATCAAACTAGTAGACAAAGAAAATCTCACACTTAACGAATATAACAATAGATAAAACTAAAACCTTCCCTTGCAAGATCATAAAGTTATAAATCTACCAAAAAAAAAAGGATCTTGGATCAAGATGAAATAAAACTGTTATCTAGAGGATAAAACCTTCCCTTGCAAGATCATAAAGTTATAAATCTACCAAAAAAAGGATCTTGGATCAAGATGAAATAAAACTGTTATCTAGAGGATAACATTTTTCTCCAAATTGTCCCCTTCTTCACATTTAGAACTGGCTAAACGTATCCCAGAATTTACTACAAATGTACGTTTAAAAGAATAGTTTCTTCAAAATTCACAAAAGAAAGATAACTCCGTGATTAAATTAAAAACAACTTTCCAACCAACTAAATGAAGAAACTTAGAGTTACGTCTAATATGTAATAAAACTGAATTCCTGACTTTTGTAGTATCAGAAGGACGATAGTATATGAGCAGAAATAATTAGTTGTATTATCGAAACGAAGAATGAGAAATGTGATATTAAACTCAAAAATTTGATACGTAGAACGTTTTAATTATAATGGGAAAAAAAATCATTTAGGCCCGGCATGGCCAGGTGGTTAGGGCGCTCGACTCGTAATCTGAGGGTCGCGGGTTCGAA